TATGGTTTCCATTATTGATCCAAGATGAAATTTGTCTTCTTCAACCCCAAGATTAGAAGTGAGATATAATGAAGATTTCTTTCCACAGAAGGGAAGCAGAAATTTTAACAACAAGAAACTAGTGGAGCCAACTATGATTGAACGACAGGTTGTTGTTAAGCATCTCGACATGATATGGTCCAAGTTGCCTTATTCGAGATCTGATTTAAATGTGGGGACATGAAAGGAATTGAATAAATCTTCCTTATGATGTGTTTCAAGAGTTAAGTTAGAACAGACTCTACTCTCCTAATTAATCCTTGCTGAGTCAGGCATATCTACATCTACACTCTTCAAAGATGATAGATTCCCTTTTTAAAAGATGACAAATTCTCTTTTCAAAGATGAAAGCTTTATCGGATTTCTGCACAACTCCAAGCAAAGAAAGTTGGTTTTATCCAAGACAAAATGGGGCATCAGGGTCATAATTTTGACTACGATAAGAGTTCCACAAATAAAACAATTCTTCTGAGACTTTCATGAAGCAAAGAAGACATAAAGATACAAGTTGATCAGATGGTTCTACAAAAATGCAAGCTTGATAGCATAAGTTGCTACACTGATATCCAGAGGTGACCCTGGCAATAAATGATGAAGTGGAGAAAAACTGAGTTCACCATTTTGAAGTCAAATGAAGATTGCATCAACATTCATGCATCATATTAGACATTTGCAAAATAGGAGCATTTTCATTCATTTTATCCATGTTGAATATTCGAAGGAATTTCAAAGATTTTAGCAAAGTTCAAATCCATCATTCAATGGATCAACATTTCTAGAAGAGTTCATAATGAGAAGAACTCATCTGAAGAAGGAAGAAGAAGTTCATAATAAGAAGAACTTGTTCAACTTTTCGCTTGAATTCATCATTCGATGGATCAACATTGCCAGGTCGAGTTCATAATGAGAAGAACTCATTTGAAGAATGAAGAAGAAGTTCATAATGAGAAGAACTTGTTCAACTTTTCGCTTGAATTCATCATTCGATGGATCAGCATTGCCAGGTTGAGTTCATAATGAGAAGAACTCATCTGAAGAAAGAACAAGAAGTTCATAATGAGAAGAACTTGTTCAACTTTTCGCTTGAATTCATCATTCGATGGATCAGCATTGCCAGGTCGAGTTCATAATGAGAAGAACTCATCTGAAGAAAGAAGAAGAAATTCATAATGAGAAGAACTTGTTCAACTTTTCGCTTGAATTCATCATTCGATGGATCAACATTGCCAGGTCGAGTTCATAATGAGAAGAACTCATCTGAAGAAGGAAGAAGAAGTTCATAATGAGAAGAACTTGTTCAACTTTTCGCTTGAATTCATCATTCGATGGATCAGCATTGCCAGGTCGAGTTCATAATGAGAAGAACTCATCTGAAGAAAGAAGAAGAAGTTCATAATGAGAAGAACTTGTTCAACTTTTCGCTTGAATTCATCATTCGATGGATCAGCATTGCCAGGTCGAGTTCATAATGAGAAGAACTCGTCTGAAGAAAGAAGAAGAAGTTCATAATGAGAAGAACTTGTTCAACTTTTCGCTTGAATTTATCATTCGATGGACCAGCATTGCCAGGGCGAGTTCATAATAAGAAGAACTCATCTGAAGAAGGACTCATCTGAAGAAGGAAGAAGAAGTTCATAATGAGAAGAAATTGTTCAACTTTTCGCTTGAATTCATCATTCGATGGATCAGCATTGCCAGGTCGAGTTCATAATGAGAAGAACTCATCTGAAGAAAGAAGAAGAAGTTCATAATGAGAAGAACTTGTTCAACTTTTCGCTTGAATTCATCATTCGATGGATCAGCATTTCCAGGTCGAGTTCATAATGAGAAGAACTCATCTGAAGAAAGAAGAAGAAGTTCATAATGAGAAGAACTTGTTCAACTTTTCGCTTGAATTTATCATTCGATGGACTAGCATTGCCAGGGCGAATTCATAATAAGAAGAACTCATCTGAAGAAGGAATAAGAAGTTTATAATGAGAAGAACTTGTTCAACTTTTCGCTTGAATTTATCATTCGATGGACCAGCATTGCCAGGGTGAGTTCATAATAAGAAGAACTCATCTGAAGAAAGAAGAAGAAATTCATAATGAGAAGAACTTGTTGCTCGAATTCATCACTCGATGGATCAACTTTTCCAGTGAGAGTTCATAATGAGAAGAATTCATCTGAAGAGGAAGAGGAAGTTCATAATGAGAAGAACTTGTTCAATCTTTTGCATGATTCTATCACAGAAGGAGATAGATCAGCATCAACATTTCCAGATTACATCACAAAAGGAGACAAATTATCATCCCCAGTGGAAAAGTTCATAATGAGACGAACTAATCCCAAAGAAGATTTTGTTCAACATTACCATCTTAATCAAGTGAAGTCAAATGAAAAAAAACATATTGTCCTTTAGTCTTTGTCCTATTCTCGTTAACACAAGAATAAACAAAGAGGGGCAGCTGAAGACACTAGTTTTTTATTTCATTTGTTTTATTTATTATTATTATTTTGTTTTAATATTATTATATTATATTATATTATTATTATTAAATAAATAATTATTATTATTACAAACAGGCCAAGTTCGGCCCAACCCAGACGAGCCCAGTTACAAGAGACCAAACTCAGATGGCCCAACAGTAACCCTAAACCCATCTAGAGTTTGTATCATCACCAGCAACCGCCTCCACCTCAGCCGTTGGATCTGTTTTGATCCAACGGTCCACAGCTTTCCAGATAAAACCCTAGGGTATCATAACCGCCGCCATTGCTTCTAGAGAGCCACGTCCCAGCCGCCGCCAGATGGTCCAATATCTGCTGCCGACGCTTGCTGCCTCACCGAGCTTTCCAGAAGAGCCAGCCGCCCCACACGTCGCAACTATTGGGGTGAGTCACCACATAGCTCGGTGACTCACCGAAAGCCTCCTAAGGGACCTGTCCGACGAAAGCCTCGGTGGTGGCTATAAAAGCCACCACACCTGCAAAATAAGAGGAGAACCGGAGAAAAACAGAAACAAGAGCAAGAACTACACCAACGATCCCAGATAACTGCGTAAGAAAAGCAACGAGAACACAACAAGCATTAACAATCGAAAATAAAAACAGAGAAGAGAAGAACTTACCCTCGAGATACCAAACGTCGCCGGAAACAACCAAAACCCGAAGGTACTTTCGTAGATTTGCTCCGATTGGGAGCTTTTAAGGGAAAAAGAACACCGGAATCGGTTTTAGATCGTCCCGATCTATATTTTGGTGTATTTTAGAATTTTCCGGCCACCGTTAACGGTGGCCGGCAGTGGTGGTCGGAGCCCGGCATCAGTGGCTGACCGGGACTGTCTTCTCTCGTTTTAGAGAAAAGCCAGAGACAAATTCTGGCTCTCTTATTTTTTAGAGAAAAGAGGGAATGAAGAAATGAGAGAGCTGGCCCGAAGGGCCAGCCGTTTCGGGTATTTAAATACCCTCTCCCAAACGACGCCGTTTTGGGGAGGGTATTTTTGTAATTTCATAAAGGGTAAACCCCGTCCGCAGTGCTCTAAATTTGTATACCTTGCAATTTAGTCACTGAAAGCAATTTTTGATTATTTTAATTTAGTCTTCTAATTTTATTTTATTTTAATTTAGTCCTTGTCAGCATATATATATATTTAGGAAAATATCAAATTTAATCCCTCATAGTTTATTAATTATTATTTTAATCACGTATTATGAATTATGGTTAAATTACACTTTTAATGTCCATCTTTTATATATTTCGAATTAATACTCTAGTTTTATAATTTTACATTTTAATCATTAAAATTTCATTTTTGATTATTTTTTAATATTTTATATTTTAATACTATATTTTTAATTCTTTTTATTTTAATTATTATTTGTAATATTATTTTATTATTATTACTTTTTATTATTATTCTTATTATTTATATAAATATATATATATATATATAATAAATAATATTTGTTTATTCGTTAAAATCTTATATTTCATAAATTACTTTTAATAATTATATTTTAATATATATTTATTTATTTTTTAATATTAAGAAAGGGCAGTCTTAAAACAATTGGATTTCTATTTTCTGATATTTTTAAATAAATAAATGTCTTATTTTATAAATTATATATTAATTGTTTTAATTATTTATTTATTTTTTAATATCAAAGAAAAAGAACTGTCTTAAGATACATAGAAGCCATTTTCTGATATTTCTAAATAAATAAATATTTTATTTATAAATATATAAATTAATATTTTCCATAATTATAATTTTAAAATAATAGGATTATAAATTAAATATATTTTAAATTTTTAAATTTCTAATAATAGAGACAATTTATAATTAAAAAATACCAATTTTGAACGTTGTATGGATGTTAATCCTTCCCTAAACGTAACCGATCACGAATCCCTTTTTATTTCTAAAAAGAATGAAATTTTGGTTAAAGCGTAGATCAGTTTATCTTTTAATTGATGTTTTCTTAAAAACTCTTTTAAAAGATAATTTTTTAGGTATTCGACCTACCTGACCCAAAAGGCCGATGTCGACTCCCAAATTATTTTAAACCATTTATTCACATCACTTTTCCCGCCAAATAAAAAATTTGTGCCATGACAAAAACCGGTTACGACACATGGCAACCAAAGCGAGTTAGAAGGTGAAATCCCAGCTGAGCAGCACCGATATCCTACAAAGTATAAATATAAAACAGTGTGGACAGTGGTTTTACAGACAGAATTTGATACTCCCAATAATCTTCAAAAAGAGGGAAGCAACAAAGGCGCCTTTGATTCCATAATCCCGTATTGACATATGAATCTACAGTAGATTCCACACTCCATGGATGCAGATCATATTTTGCATTTATGTTGATGATGTAATTATAAATAAGACAAATCATTAGTCATATCAAATTTTAAACACCCATGGATCTAAGGTACCAACATACGAGTTTTAACCACTGTTGATGTTCATTTTATTCATCCCCAAAGTGTTTTTATTAAAAAATAAATACTATAAACCAAATTGTCCAAGATAGCTCAACAGTTCACCCCTGTGCTCATCTCCTGCAGCAATTTTAAGGGTAATTTATGAGCACTCAAACAGTTCCTGTTGATGGTTCTAATGGTGGAAGAACTTACTTCAGGGCATTGTTTTTATGCAATAAGAATGCATCTCGCTGGGCATCCATCTGCATCAACCATCTTTAGCGGTAGGCAATGAACCGTATACTTCACTGGCTCAATTCCGTCGAGGTTTAGACCTTCGACTAGAACGATTTCCTGTACAAAACATACCAGTTTCAGTAATGCATTCTAACACTAGTCTTTAAACCAGAGTAATCTGGATTAAAAATTCTGTTCACATCTAAAATTAACAAGAGAAACCTCTTTGTTCTTACCCTACTCCTCAGGAATATAAGGTGAGTCGGGGCGACATCAACATAGGCAGCAACAGATAGGTAATCAAGTCCTACAATTCATACAGACATTATAAATGGTTATTACCGGAATTAAAACACAATCTATGGCGACTTTTGACCCCGACATGTCCTTGCTATCTGCAATAAAAATCTAAAATCTTACCAACAAGTTTGATGTCGGTGTTATCGACCAACCACTGTGCCCCTTCCTTCTTAAACCCGGTGAAGTCTGAAGCAAACTTTGTTTTATGCATCAGCCTCCTAAACATCACATATATTTCCACTATCATGAAATCACACCATGTTTGCTTCATATATGTAGGATGCAAAGGTATGTACATGTACATGTATGTTCACCTGTCAGTATCAAGTGTTCTGAAAAGCACACGATGTACACCGCGGGGAATATTCAAAGACTTCATGACTTCAGCTGTAGATAAACATATTTTAGTTACTAATTACTACAACAAACACAAAATATTAGCTAAAAGAAGATGGAATTTGAACGCTGAGATATCTATTTTGTGATGTTCAACTAGCAGGCAAGGTTTCTGATTAAACCAGCTATTACTGCATAAAAATCCCAGAAAAGGGAAAGATTCTAGAGTGAGATGAAGGGAGGTTTAGAACCCTAAATGTTGTAGCAAATAAAACACGCATGGGCATCAATGAAAAAGAAGGGGGAAACCCCATCATACCAGTAATGTTCTGGTTTCTTGGAACATCAACAACTAGAGCAGGACCTATACATACAAACAATGAAACATGTAAACCCATTAAAATACAAAAAAAAAAAAAAGAAATTTTTAGCGTAGTTATAATCTGAGTTTACCATTAAGTGTTTGGAGGCTAAGAGTAGTAACATCAAAGCCCTGCTCATAATTCTTTTGGTAGAAGTGGCCCGGGGCATCAACGTGGGTGCCGGTGTGGGTTCCCAACTTAAACTCAGATTCATTAGCCAAGGATCCATTCTTAATGCTGGAAACAAGCCGAATGAAGTGACCGAGCACGTTCTTTGAGTTAAAAATTGGCAACCTGGAAGTGATTCTGTGAGTTATATCGAAGATTTTGCCATTACCATCACCTACAGCAGCACCGGCGAGGATGGTAAGAGAAAGCACGCCACAGGCACAAAGGAGGATATTTTTGTTCATGTTTCTAAACATGGTAATAAATTCAATTGTTTTGAAAATCGGACTGGTCGGTTCAATCGGTTCAATCGGGATTCGTATGTTAGTCTGATTTAATTTAAATCGGTTGAATCGTTACTAGTAAATCGGTTAGAACCGTTGAACCATTCGAACCGGACCGGCTGAAAATAAAAAAAAATCGAAAAAAACCGAAAACTTTGTTTTAAAAAAAAAAAATTAAATCAAACAACGTCGTTTGTTAAACGAGCCAAGTCGAACTTGAGTATTGTTGAGCTCGACTCGAACTTGAAAATTTTAAAAGTAAGCTCAACTCGACTCAAACTCGCAAGCTAAAAATTATCAAATTCAATTCAAACTCGAAATATAATATTGAAACTTGAACTCAAAAAGGCTTGAACTAAAAAAAAATTTAGAAGCTCGATTGAAGCCTAAAATTCGAGCTTGATTGAAGTGAAATAATAGTTCACTCAATACTTACCAAAAGGCTCCATGATTTTAAATATCAAATTACATCTATTATTTATAGAAGTTAGTTGTGATGTTCTTCTATGTTTCTTAGCAATGCGAGATTGTTTTATTATCATATTTTTACTCTTTAGACTTTTGGGATGCTCTTCTATGTTTCTTAGTCATGTGAGATTATTTTTTTTAAAAAAATTAAACCAAACAATATCATTTTGTTATGATTTTTTAATTCTAAATTTATTTTTTAATTATAGTTATATAATTATATTTATTATTTAATTTGTTTTACCTTAAATATTATGTTGTAGTTAATTTGAATTATTTTGTTTCACTTTATTTTATGGTTTTTAACTTATATATATTATAACTTGCTTTGAATATGATTTGTTATATAAAAAATTATTTTTTATTAAATATTTTTGATATTTTTATTTAATTTTTTTAAATAATTATGACGTCGTCCGATTCTTCCCACCGATCAGACCGATTCGATAGGTTAAACCAGTGAACTGATAACATGACCGGTTCGCTAACCGGTCCGAAAGATAAATTCTGAAATGAACTAATTTCAAGATAAAAGACCCTAGTTTGACTGGCAGCGTTGTGCAGCTTACGGGGTTTGTCGGTTGATAGATGAAAGAAGGAAGAGCGTAGCCAATTTTTGACTTTACAAAATCCTTGACTGTGGAAGATATCTTGCTGGCTTTGTCAATTAATAATTGAATAATAATGTTTAGAAAATATTACATTATTCTCAATGATCCAGACCTCTTCCCTTGTCTTCAATGGTTGAGTGCTTCCTCACCTCAACAAAATTTACAAAACATAAATCGCTTTTAAATAATATAGGGGTTGAAAAATTATTCTGAAATTTAATCTATTCATATAGTATATGTGAAATTCAATAACGAATTTTATAATTCTTCGTCTCATTAAACGTGTTTTTTTAGTTTTAAAATTATCTCAAAAAATGTCCCATTAAAAAAAATAAACAAATAACAACACTTAAATTTTACTTTTTTACCCTTTTCTTTTACTCATAAAAACAAAACCATCAATTATTTTTCTGAGATAATTTTGTCATTTATTTTATTTTACATATGGTCGAATTTATCTTTTAAAACTATGATTTGTCCACACAACACATTTAATAAGAGAAAATAAAATTCAAACTTGTCATATCCTACGAGTTCCATGCATATCTATAAATATTTTAGATCTCAAATTAAATTTTAAATATTTATATTTCATTAAATATTTTCTCGACCAACAAATCTCCCAGTTCACTTTGATAAGATCCGACAGAAAATAAAAAAAATAAAAAAAATGAGGCGGTTCTCTTTCAATCTATTTTTTGCGTAGATTACAGCAGAACTTTTCTTTATTAAACATTACAAAATTAATATTAATATTAATTAAAAAATCATCATTCTAATAATCACTTGATACGATAAATGTTAATTTAAATAAGATATAAAATAAATAAATCAAATTGTAATGTATTTGTTATATGAATATCACAATATTAAATATATAGTGCGAATAAATCTATTTATTAATATCATTTGGCATTTGCACATCAAATCTAAACTATAAATATAATAAACACATATGTACTTATAATTTGATCCTCATCTAATAAAGTTATATTTAAATTGACCTTTCAAAGATCAAATTAATCACTAAATTGACAAAAAGACTTAATTATGTTTTGAGTGTTTATGATTTGAAGTGAAAAATTCAGAAGATGACTTACGAAAAATCATATGGCAAGTCATATTCTAAAAAATACAAAAAAAAATTTGTTGATCAGGAAAATGAATTATATTAACAATTTGTTTTCCGCCAACCAAACATTGAAAAATGAGAAAAACATTTTTCAAAAAAACAATGAGAACCTTATATAATATTACACTTCAATGACTCAATTTTTTTTATATAACCACCAATATCCAATCTTTTAATCGAATAATCTGGATCAGGTATTGCACAGGCAAGGGCAGGCAACACCCAACCTAGTTTACTCCATTCACAAGCGCCAAGACTCGAACTTCACCAATTGGTTGTTGGTCACTTGAATGACTCAATGAAAACCCTTTTTAAACTTTAGGGATCAGTCCAAACCACAATTTGATACGAGTATTTTGGTAAGGTTTCTATTTAATTTTCTAGATTTTGAAATCATCACATCAAAAATAGATAGAAAATCATTACAAAACGTTACTAGATGCAAAAAGTGATTCCAACAGTTTTCATTTGGGGACTTGTATTATGGTCTTTCTTGGAATTAGAACGCAATGTCCAAACTTTTTGAATGAGATATGTATAGGTTTTAGGCTCTTCTGGACACAAAAACTTCTCATAAACATCAGTTTCCCAAAGATGGATCTGTGAAACAAATCATTTCCACCTCAATTCTGTTCAGTGACCAAAGATTTAGCAATGACATTCAGAAGCAATAACCAAAAAGCCATAAGAAATATACTATGATACACAAAGTGTACTTCAACGAAACTAAATTTCGGTACCCGTAGATAACTTCTGTGTACGTAACATAAGTCCATTATTTATAATATTCCTACCAATCGCCTCACCTTAGCATCGTCGTTGCCTGAAGAAAGTACTCACTTTTCTTAAGTCTTCGGTAATGACTGTGAGAATATAAACAGATTGGTTTAATTAACATGATATTGATAAGCATGTAGAATTTGTAAGAGGATAAGTCAACAGTAGCAACAATTCCATACCTAAAGCAAGAATGCACGACTTACAAGGATAATACATCATTTGATGAGAATGCATCTTGTTGGTGATCCTTCAGCACCAATCAATCTTAAAGGTAAGCAGTGAACCGAATATATTCCGGGCTGGATGTCATCGAGTTTTAGGCCTTCCACAAGAATAATATCCTGCAGTGGATGTCAAGCGTTAGAAATTTGTGGTAGGTCACTGTTTATACCACGTTTCTACCCCGGAATCGGATTTACTTGCAGCAACAGAACACAGGAGACTTACTAAGACAATACTTGTAGGAGGAAAACGAAACAAAAAATCAAACCAGAAACTTGGAGCAGATGTACCACTCTCAACTAGCTAATCAATTTTAACGTGTTTAGAATTTATAAAAATTAGAAAATCCTTGCTAAGTTTTACCTAGATCGGATGTAGAAGAGTTGCAAATTTGCAATGTACAACACTACCAAATCAAGCGCTCGATTGACTAGACAAGCATTGCAATTTAATGAGAAACCTAAGTATTGTCCCTGACACTTCGTTTATCCAAGAATGATGGTTCAGTGAGTCCATAACCATCAGGTCGAACTAAGGAACGAGAAGAGGAACAAGCCATTGATCACTTATTTCGAAGACATGATAGAATCAAGTAATCCAAATACACAACCATTCATGAACTTATAATGCAGGAAATCAAATTTTACTCGGCAACAATGTGAACTGATCATACTGGAAAATATCAAGTTCAGCCATGCAAGAAATCATAATCAAAACCACAAACAAAGAATCTAGTTAACACGAAAGATGATGATTTCTTACTCGGCCTTCCAGGAAAACTAAATGAGATGGAATTAAATCATCAAATGCAGCAACAGATAAGTAATCAATTCCTGAATTTCCAGAAAAGAAAAAAAGGTCATAAAAAATTCAAGCAAGCAAGAACCAAATAATGTAAAATTTAAGAGAAATTGAAGGCAATTATCTCACCAACAAGTTTGATGTCAGTGTTTTTAACCAACCACTCTGCCCCATCCTTCATAAACCCCACATAGCTTGTATCGAACTCTTTCTGAAACATTAGCCGCCTGTACAAATTCAAGTTCAGAATTTGCTTTTTGTTTTAACTATGAGCTGCATATAGCATTCCATGGAGTTTTCATGTAACTACCTGTCAGTATTCAAGGTTCTGAAAAGAACTCTACGTACTCCCTTGGGTATTTTCAAAGACTCCATAACCTCAGCTATAATCAGAAAGAATTTTTTTTATATATATGAAAAATAAAACCCATAAATTTTATGAAAAAGAAGAGCCAAAGAAACAAACCAGTTATGTTTTTATCCCTTGGAACATCTACCAACAGCGCAGGGCCTATAAGGTGAAATTCCAACCAAAAACAAAAAAAGAATAAGAAATTAATTATATCAGAGAAGTGGTTTTTTTAATATTAGTTACCATTAAGGACTTCCAAATCGAGGGTATCGACATCGAAGCCGGCATCGAAATAACGATCGATAACGTGTCCGGGAGCGTCGAGGTGGGTGCCGGTGTGAGTGGGAAGTTTCATCTCCGAATTATTTGCGAGGGAACCGTTCTTCATGCTTTTAGGCAACCAAAGGAACTGTCCGATGCCGTCTTTGGATTCCCATGACGGCATGTCGACGGTGTACCTATGGCTGATGTCGAATATCTTGCCGTTACCGTAGACTTCGCGACGGATGGGAACAGGATTCTCGTCTCCTCCGGAGAGACCGCAATCAGTGGTGGAACCGGTTCCGGTGATGGAAGGGTAAGCGGTTGTGGAGGTGGCAGCGGTGGAGGTTAAGGCGGCTGAGAGGAGGAGGAGGCAGTGAAGGAGGCAGAAGGGAGTCATTGTTGAAGAAGGAAGTGGGAAGTGAAAGTTCGAAAACTTAATTTTATGAAGCATGGTTGCTTTAGAATAGTGCGTCGTGTCATTGGTTTCGGCCTTGGTGTGACGATATTCACGCGCTTTTCAGAGAGCGTGAATGCGCGATATCTTTAGATTTACTTTTGGAGTTAGAGCCCAACCAAATCATTTCCAATAAAATATTAGATAAACTACGCATTTAATCATCCATTTATTTTATATTTTTTATCATCTAATTATTATTTTTAAATTATATTTAACGTTACGTTTTAGTTCTGTTTTGATCATCTACTATAAGATAATATCATAATATCATTAAAACAGTTATCACGTTATAAATTTCATTCATTTTTAATAATAGGTGGCCTAAATAAAACCAAAACATAAAGTTAAATATAATTTAAAAAATACTTAGATGACTAAAATTGAAAATGCGTCAATAAGTAAGTGATTAAATACACATTTTATTCTAAAATATATTATTTAAAATTAAATAGCGTCGTTTAATTTGAATTAAATGACTTCAATGTTAATAAGAGGATTATATTCTTTTTAGAGGACATAAGTTCAAGTAATTGTATCTATAAAACGTGTATATTGCTATAAGCTAAAACTATCTGAACGAATATTACATTATAATCCCTTTACGTTATTAAAAATATTTTATATGAAAATGTAATATTTAAATGTTAGATCAACATAATACAATAAATAGTTTGGTAAAGGGTTTTAATAAAAAAAATATTGAAATCCTATAAATGTTGAAGGAGATAACAAAAGAAGAAGAATAAGAAGAAAAGTGAAGGAATGGAAAGATTTCATGTTGAAATCCAAGGATGATTTTGCATCTCAGGCTACATATTCATATTTAGGCATAGAAGCTAAGAGAGAGAGAGAGAGAGAGGGTGACCGACTGCAATTATACCTGTTTTGGTCACCAGATCAATGGTGGGGCTGCAGTTATAATTTGCAGTAAAAATTGAAGGGGATGTTGGTTTTTTTTTCTTCCAGAATTCTGCAGAGAGAAACAAAGAACATCATATTTACTGGAAGTGGGAGTTGATATTAATGATGAAAGTAAAGACATCTCCAGCCCTTATTTCTACTCTACAGTATTTTTATTTCTATTTTAAAGATGGAACAATAATTCATCTCCAGTACTATCTTTATATTATCATCAATTCTACTTTATTCATAATATTTAACTATTATAATCTTGATTTAACAAATATAAAATAAAACATATACATTTCTAATAAATATCAAAATAAAAACATAAATAAAATATTGATAAATAACATTACGAAAATACAAATAAATAACATTCATAAATAAAAAGTATGTTAATTTATCTAATTTCAATATATTTTTATCTATCTTGTAATTTAATCTACTTTAATTTATTATATTATGTTTAATTTTTATTTTATTATGTAGAAATTACAATAAAAAACATAAAAGATAGAATAATAAAAAAATAATGTAATAAAAAAAAGAAAAGAATAAGAAAATAACAAAAGAAATTTAAAAAATACAAAAAATCAGAAAAATAACAAAAAAATGTAGAGTAACTACAGTACGACGTCAGTTGTGGCGTGCACAATAACCCAACGCCACAATCTAGCATAACAATAGCGATGGACTGGAGCATAAGATCATCTCTAAAATGGAGATGAATGCCACTCCAAGATACGTTGAAGATGGCCTTAGAAGAAGAAAAAAATGGCTGACATTGTTATGTATATCCAATATCTTTAAAAGTAAACTGTGTTTTTGGAAAGGATAACCTGGGGGGGAAGACAAGGTGGAGAGAGAATCTCATGTGTGGTACTAAAAGACAATCAATGATCCCATGTTTGAGAGCATTCGCATTGACTCCCTTATTAGTTACCTCTATCATTTTTGTGCTGCTTTTCAACTTTTACTGTTGGTAAAGAAGCCTCTGGCTCATAGACACTGCTACGAAAAATTTCACGTGCGATAGTTTTAATATACGATTAAAGAAAGATGTTATTGATTTTATTATTATATTTTTAATAAAATAAATAAAAATTTATCAGAAATATTATTATTTCTACCGATTTTGTTATTATTAGACACTTTACCATAAATATTAAAAAATTAATATTTTAGATAAAAATAATATTATTATTTTAGATATTCTTTTTTACTGATTTTATTAAAAAAACGACGTATATTAATGCGGTTGCACTGATTTTTCAATTATCAAATTTTGGTTCCCAGGCAAATTTTATTGGATATTGTGAAGAATGTTTTTTATGTAGGATGTAGGGAGGATTATTTTTTTATAAAAGGGTAAATTACACCAATCACCACTGAATTTTATTCTCTCTCATATTTCAATCATTGTACTTTATATTCTTTCAATTTTCTCACTAAACTTAACATAATTAACATTTTTGATCACTCAACCGTTAAATATTTATCGGCGTTAAAATGACTTTGTTTTAGAAAAACAAAAAATTTCATCAAAACGACATCGTTTTGTATCTATAAAACAGCTCATTTGTAACGCCGTTTAATGAAAAACTACTGAGTGACCAAAAATACTAATTATGTTTAGTGAGGAAATTAACCGAGCTTAAAGTACAATGAGTAAAATAGGAGAGATAATAAATTTCAGTGATGGTTGATGTAATTTACCCTTGATTAAATTGTAACATTATAACTTTTCGAGTATGCATAGAGTTGGAAAGAAGATGCTATCGTTCGAATGTCCTCTAATATACAATGTAATAATGATGTTCCCTAAGAAAATAATTACCCACAACTTTAGATGAAAAATTCTTTGACTGGAACCTATCCCTTGAGTAAAAGAAAATTTTAATATTTTGATTTTCTACCTGAATTAATAAAAGGTGAATCTACCATGATCCTCACGTTATTGAGAACATCTGAATCTCTTTTCAAGTGAATGAGAGATGCTTTTAAATGAGATACCCCTAATAGTATGCCATCCAGTGAAATGATCTACAACTCTGCCGGAATCAATAGATGACGAATTGTAACATCCTAAATTCCGGGCTAATAGTTTCGGGTTTACCCGAGGGATAAATGGACCCCTTAGATTTCATGATTTAAGATGTTGAGTTTAATTGGGTTGAAATTGGGCCCAATTAGCCTTAAAAATGGTATTTTTAAATAAGGGACAAAATGTCAAGGACTAAAAGTATAATTTGACTATTAAGAAAAATTAAATCTGATTTTGGGGTTTTTATGTGCTTTGGACACGGGGCTTCCCCATTTCTTCTTCACTTCCTTTCTTCCTCTTATTCTCTTCTTCACCTAGTCCCCATAGCATCAATCGGTGGTAAGAACTCTTTTTCCCAACTTTAATAAGCTTCAATTTCATCCTCAAATCCTTCCTATAATCTTCTTTGTGTCATGGATTCATGGGTTTATTGTTTGGCTAGAAAAATGGCAGAAAATTCAACAAAGTTAACAAGAAAGGTGCTTGATAGCTAAAGGAGGTTCCTTCGGGTTTCTAAATTCAATATAGTGTATTTCTAATCCATTGGAGTATTAAGTTTTCATAGATTTCAAGAATATGCAAAGATTTGGTGATTTAAGTATTTTAGGGTTTATCTTTGATTTCTCAAGCAAATAACGTTTTGGTGTTAATAACAAGTTTTTATGATACTTTAAGACCATAACTAACTCCCTAAAGCTTCAGAATAAGATTAAAAACCAAACCAAGCCAATTAGGGTAAATTTTAAGAGTTTTTCAAGCCTAAAATAACCATTTTCAGGGTTAAGTATCGACACTGGATAAATTGGGGCTAAAATTAGGGATTTTAGAGCGTCGATATAGATGATACTATGAGAGTATAGATACCATTCCTTCGATCTTGAGACTCAGAGTGTTGGTCTCGAGATCGGGCCAAATTTTCTGAAACAAAATGCATTTTTAGTATCGATACTCATAGGGGTATCGATACTTAACCCTATGGTATCGATATTGAAAGTAGAGTATCGATACTACCCACTTTGGATGGTCATAATTGACCCGTTTAAGGTCTATAAGAGCCAAGATCGATATGTAATAGTAAGACTTAGTCTGTGAGGGACATAAATGACCAAGCATGCCTAAAAACACTCGTAAGAGCGGGTTACATAAGATGTAACCATATTAAATGAAGTACATTGAATTATCTTCCATCGAGGATGCATACGAATAGGTGGGATCGAGGGTTGTTAAAGGAGACATCTGATAAGCGGTACGATGACTATGTCAATTTTAGTGGTAGCGAAAAGTACGATAAGATCGAGTATAATGTCACTACTTAGAAATGAATCCAAGCCATATATCGAGCTAGCCAGTCCCACGGTTAATAAGTAAGCATTCATATAACATTCTAGATGAGAGAACGAACGAGATAGCAGCTAGTATGACGTCGATTTCACTTTAGTGAGTTTAGCTATGTTAAGGTATATCAAGTTACCTTAGTTGCCCTAGTGAGGCATTACCGGTGCGCGAGGCACTTCAGGGGCTAACTAGGGTGCAAGACCCGAACACTCACGAGGAGTGGGTTAGCGATGTCAGTGTTATGTGTCTTATGAGCCTTAGATATGCATGGGTAATTATGTTAGTTCAGTGGGGTAAGTTTTCGATGCACGTAAATTCTGGTTCTTACCCTTATGTTGTTTCATACTCAAGCTAGGTTGGGGTGTTGCTCCGAGATGCACGTAAATTCCTCCGACCATACCACCAGACCTTTCTTATGTCTGTTGTGTCAGTCATGCATGTACAGTCCCATCAGTTTAGTATGTCAGGTATGTTAAAGCTTGGCTTGAAGGCTATGTGAGACCAAACCAATGCTTCGGTTTGTGCTAGAATTGTACCGATGCTATGTGACACCGAGTTCCCTTTAGTGATTTACCTAATGGCTATGTGAGGAGCATGAAATCATCCAATATGTTTGTGGGAATTACTTCGATGCTATGTGACATCGGGGTTCCCTCAATAAATAGTGTTTGAGAGTTATATGAGACCAAATACTAGTCAGGTTGCATTCAAATAATATACAGCATGTCAGGGATGCATTCAAGTAATGCACAATATGTCAGGTTCGCATTCATATAATAGTAGTATGTTTAGTCATTAAGGTTAGAGACCCTTTAGAGGTGTACTCATGGCGAGGCCCTTAGTAGAGGCTAAGGGAAGCGTGAGACCCCTACGTCCGAGTTAGAGTAGTAATGCCTTAGGTAGGTAGCACTTGATCTAGGTTATGAATGCACCTACTGCTTAGTATCATGTCTTCAACATGCTTATGTTTATGAATTCTTATTCTGCTCTAGATTAACGATTATGCTGTTGGGCTTTGTAAGCTCAGCCTTCGGATGTTTTCCGTTGGCAGGTTTCTAGTTTGGGCTGTTCGTGGAGCACCATCGTAGCAGGACCTCCAACATCTCCGATAGAGTACTGTTCTGTAGCTTTAGTGGGCAAATATATTCATAGGACCTTACTTATGTATTTGAGTTGAAATTTTCAAGATGTATTATTTTATTTTAAATTATGTGTCACGGAGCTCCGGTTTTATAAAATGATTTTATAACAATTATTTATGTTGTATTTATGATACCATTTAGTATGATTGAAAAGCAATGACAAAGTTTTGAAAATCAGGGGTTGCCTCGCTGGCCCAGTGTGGCACTTTAAGCCTAATCGGATTTAGGTGTTACACGAATCGTTAAAGTCCCTCATGATTTGTTATCTCTGTTTGTACAAACATGGATGTTCTTCGGACTCTCTCACTGTTAGATCAATGCTAAAGAGATCATAAAGATACCTCTAAATGAGATGTTCTTTAGCACCTTTTGCTAAAGGAAATAATGCTAGTAATAAATAGGGGCCACCATCTCGACATCGACTCAAGGAATAAACTCAATATGTTAGACCTTGAACTCCGACTTCGGTACAATTCTAGGTTAGGCATAAGTTCCAAGAAACGGGAAAAAAGATGACAAAAGTATAAATGAGAAAAGATATGGACAGAACGATTTATCTAAAACAAAAATCAAGACTTCCATCAACGGATCTTTGTTCTCTCCAGACAACATGAACAGCAAATTTCAAACCAGCAATCACCGTCTTTCCGCCACCGTAGACCACCACTTCTTATGTTGTTAATCAACAATAATTTACTTTTTAAAAACATGCGATGGTATGATACATACACATATGCGCAACAGAGTGTGAAATAGCTAAAATTACAGGAAAAAAAAACAAATATCGACCATCACTGTCTCCATTTGAAATCTTCACGGGCAGTTATTGGCAATGCTAGTGTTTTAGTAGTCATCAAGCACTCCAATTTTGTAAAATTTTCCCCAACCCACATTCTCTTACCTTATATTCCTTTCACAGTGGTTTCAACTAATCTTAATTTATTATAAACGGCAGTGTCACTGATTTTAAAAAAAAAGTGGTATTATTATGATTAACCCCACTGTCTAGAAGGCACGATCACAAGCTTCTGTCGTTTATTCATGTTATTCAAGATCTAATTTTTATACAATCTTTCATACATTATACACTTTATGTATTACATCATCTTAACGTTTATAAGGTTATCAAATTTATAACTTCAACGTTCGAACAAAAATTATTGGGTACCTTCCTTGTGGGAGTATTGAAGAAACTGAACATAACATATATTCTGTATCCGACATTTAGAATAACATAGGAAGAAAGAAAGGCAAGCCTCTAGGAGAGCCGATCACCTGAAATCAATCTTTATTTGTTTGATAACAATACAATATACAACCGAAGAGCTAGAAAACAAAGCAAGCACCATACAAGTATCTACACCTCCTTCCAATCCTTACTGGGATGATGAGAAGTTCATACAGAAAAAAGGAATGTATAAGCTTCACAAATGTATAAATTGCAGACCAAAACTTAATCAAGAATATAAGGATCCCGCATGGGAACATACAAGATAATGCTCCCCAAAAAATAAGTTATTAAGGTTAGCCCTGCTCCAAACGACTGCTATAACTCCGATAGCAAATGGAAACTGATGAAATCGAAGCAAAAAGGAATCAAAAGCATCACATCATGAAAACCCATTCATATGCCCCTATTCACTCAACCACCCGAATACCCTGTGTATAAAATAAGTGCATATGCTTTAGTGAGAGAGAAGCAGAGCGGCAACAACTGAATCCGAACAATACAGTTTAACGATACATTTTATCTCGGGAGTGCAGCAACCAAAAGTAAGTAGTTCAATCTGTGTGTATTTATCTCTGGTAAAGCTTGCAAGTCTGTGTTCAACATTAATTACATTAGAAATTTGAAGCCTAGATGTCTTGTAAAATTCATAAATCAATAAAATTACATGATTCTCACTTTGTACAAACTGCACCTATATCACAGTAACAGCATATGGTCATTAGATTGAAGAGTCAATTCAGAACTTGCCAATTTATTACAGACCAACTCCTAAAATGTTTTAGTAACATTCATTTTAGGGTTACATACTTCAAATTCCACCAACCTTTAAGCGCTGACTCGTTTATACAACCAACATTTCAATTTTGCCAATTTTAACACTAACGTTTACTTTTAAGTGTAATTATACCACTCCACCGTTAATGATTTAATGGCACGATGACATGGCAACGGCATGCCGTGATGTCGTTGACGTGGATGCCTCATCTAAACGTCGTTTTAACGTTTTTGTTTTAGTGCTCAAAAGACCCAAAATGACATCGTTTTGCTTGATCCCTATTCCTAGGGACTAAACTCAAATTTTCCCGTTATTTTTTTTCTCTTCCTCATCTTCATCTGCATCTCCTTTTCCATGGTTTTCTTGGCAACCAAATAGATTTTCCAGAAAAACACAAGGTCTTCAATTATGTAAGGCTTATGCAAAGCACTTCGAACAAGGGTTCAGTGGTGTGCCAAATATCCCAGAATTCCCTCCGAGCAAGGGTCCCGAAGCATTTCACGGCAAGGTGATACACTCCATGGACTATGCAGCCATGGAAGATGCAAAGGCGGTGAAATTCATCAAAGGCAAAAGAGTCATCGTTGTTGGGTTCCAGAAATCCGCACTGGACATCACCATGGAGTGTTCTACAGCAAATGGGATGGAAAATCCATGCACAGATTTATACAGGACAACACACTGGAACCTCCCTGATTATCTTCCCTGGGGGTTTTCATTGGCGCATATGTATCTTACTCGTTTCTCGGAGCTCATGGTTCATAAGCCCGGTGAAGCGCTTCTCCTTGGTCTTTTAGCCACAGCTCTTGCACCTCTGGTAAACTTCAAATCAAATGGCATGGCGTTTGTATAGTTTTTTTTTTCACTTTTGGTTATTTGACAGAGATGGACGTGTTCGAAATTTGTGGAGAGTGACATAAGAAGGAAGCTTCGTTTGGCGAAGAACGGCACCGTACCAACGCACAGTTTCCTCCATGAAATTTGTTTGGTTGCCAAGAAAACCATGGAAAAAGAGATGCAGATGAAGATGAGGAGGAAGAAAAGAGAAAAAATAATGGGAAAATTCTAGTTTAGTCCCTAGGAAAATTAGGGTTCAAGCAAAATGACGTCATTTTGGGTCTTTTGAGCACTAAAACAAAAACATCAAAACGACGTCGTTTAGATGAGGCATCCACATCAGCGACGTCACGGCATGTCGTTAAATTATTAACGACGAAGTGGTATAATTGCACTTAAAAGTAAACGTTAGTGTTAAAATTGGCAAAATTGAAACGTTGATGGTATCAACGAGTCGGCGCTTAAAGATTGGTTGTATTTGAAGTAGTTAACCCTTCATTTTATATCTCATCCCAGCAGGCCTCAAAAGTGGACCTATTAGGGGAAAAATGGTTTGCTACCACCAAGTCATGGTTTGATCATAGCTCTCTTGGCTAAGATTTCCAAATGGCTAAACTCAGCTAAGTTTGCTCAAGGTGACATTACAGCTTTATCATAAAGGTATCACATCTCAAACCGTGCATAACATGGATAGATTTCTAGATCAGAATAATGATATTCTAGATCTAAAAAATTTTAAATTGTGGAAAGTATGCCTTCTGATATTTAGATAATCACCTGTTTCTCCAAGCATAGTTCAATAAAATGCAAATTATTGCAAGGATAATAGGCTAATATCTCTTTGTTTAACCCATTTTCATATTTATTCCATAAAGGCAAAATTTTATAGCATGAGGAAGAAATCCAGGAAAATCATGAGCAGCCACAAATGAAGAACAAGCTGTAAACTGATATAATCAAAAGGTAAAGAGAAGCAAATTTACCTACTGCATCTTCTTTACTTTATTACAGAGCGATGGAAGCTTCCTCAATACTATTTCGTCAATTTTCCGGTACTTAGCTTGCATGGTTTTGTGTGTTACAGAAAGCTTCTCATTGATATGGTGTTGATACTTATCATATAGCATGGGAACTGATAGGCTAAGAACAATTCCTGCAGAACATACTGAATGAAATAAGCGTATTTGAAAAAAAACTGAAGGACTCGTCACTTTCATAGAAGTTAACAGGGTTCAATAAAACTCACCAATATAAACAGAAGTGAGGAAGTTGACGAAACTGCCGATGTAAGAAACGAACCACAAGACAACAGCTATCTGAGAACCAGACACACAAGACAAATGTATTTTAAAGTTTTATATCAAATCAATGGAGAATATACCCTTATAGAATGGTAAAACTAAACATTCAAAAAGAGTTTAAAATTCCTGTCAAGTGTAACGTCATGAGAGATCGACAATGCAAAATTGACCCACAGTTGTAACTCCTTAGCAATCTTCCCAGCATTCCTCTCAGAAATTTCCAAATTAGGAAGAGGGGGCAAATGTTTGTATCAGAAGCCAGAATCACTTCCCACATTAAACCCAAATCAAACAGTACAATTAACTTCCATTTTACCCCATTAAAATTGGGTTTCCTCTAATAAATCCTCACATATTGTTCTAAAAAAGGAAGGGTACCATCTAACTTGTTCCTTTTCCAGGATTCAGAAAGCATAGAAAATACTCACTAAAGACGAGGATAGTAGGCCAAGCTTGTGCAGTACCTGTTGAGAAGTGAAGCAGATTTGGCCCAAGAGAAGAGAATAACAACAAGAAGCAATAATACATTGGCCACGAAAGACACGATACTATAACCAGCAAATTCAAAGAGGCACCAAAACGCCGTTGCCGAGGCTAGAATTACGACTCCGCCACATCATTTTCTCCATAATAGCACATCAGCAACTACAAAACCAAAATGGCATAAATAAAATTAACCCTCGCACATGCAGACCCAAAAATTAAGATAACAAACCCAATATAAATCAGAATCATGTAAACTCAAAAGAATGCTGTTGAATAATATAATTAACGCATTATTTGTGCTGTAAGTGAACTACGAAAATATTAGTAATCGAAAAAAAGAAAAAGAAAACCCAACATCATCAATTCATATAAATGATAAGAGAAGCGCTAATGGAAGTGAAATAGATCCAACCAGAAATGAAGTGAAACAAACATATATATATATATCGAGAGAGAGAGAGGAGACCTAAGCCACCACCCAGAGCTTGATGAACTGATATGCGAGAAGAAGGGACGGAATCTCCCATAGGCAATTGCTGTTATCGTCGCTTCGGTAATTGATCTGAGAGTCGGAGAGATGAACCAAAATGGGCTTTCTTTCTTTCTTTTTTGCCGGCGTCTTGTTTACCTATAAAATAGTGGGCTTATTTGTTCGCACCTATTAATTACTAAATTAATTACAACAACAACAACAACAAAACCCAATTCACATATTCAATATTCAATGAGTTAAGAGGAGGTAGGGTAGTAGGCTGTCCCCAACGCCAGGTTGAGAGTAGCTTCCGTGGAATATCTCCGGCAGTCAGAAAATTAAAAATATAGATAAAATACAATGCATGTATAAATAAATACATAAATACATAGTTGTACAGTATTCATATACAATCATTAAATAAATTAATTAAGAATGCTAAATGCAAGCTCATTACTTTTCCAATTTTGTACATTAAATTTGTTAATTTTATATGATTTAAAATATAATAAAATCTCACGTCATTATCTAACTTATTAATTCATTATTTAGGTTTGTGAAACAATTTTTTTAATTTAACTTTATTTTTATTTATAATAATTAAGATTCGAACTCTCAATTGCACAAACTAACTTGTCTCAGTGGTTAAATGAAATATTATTATTCTTAGTGGTCATGAGTTCGAGCATCAGTAACTGCAACATGGTGATTGAGCATTCATTGTCAAATTGTTGAGAGTATTTAAAACATATTTTACTTTGTATAATCACTTTACCTTACTAAAAAAAAATCGAACATTCAATTTTATTTAAGAGATTTAATATCACTGCTCAGTAAATTAATTAATTAATTAATTAATTATTGGTTACATGCCATTCATGACATTAATATAACTGTCGAACCATCTACAACATCCATACAAATCTTATCTTATACTACTAAATTTTGATTGAATTAATACAAAAGTTAATAGGATATTAACTAACACTTATTTTTCCCGTCACTTATATATAATATTGAAAATGAAAGATAATCTTTATTTGTATAAAGTATAACCTTCATTTGGACGGGATTTATATCTTCAAACTAAATGTTCAGTTTCAATAATATAGTTTGACAAAACTATATTATTTAAATTTATAATATTATTAATTAACATAAATAGTTAATATTGTCGTTTATGTTATTTAAAATATGATATTTTTTTAAGAAAATACTATATCCATCAAGTGATCTTAATGATAAAATAAAATATTATTCTTTTTTTTAAAGTTTTAAGTTCAATCAATTGTCTCCCAATATGTTTGTTCACATTTAGTTTAAAAAAAATTCTTTTTTTACTAAAATGTCGATTGGAAGTTAATTAAAAGTAAAAAAAAAAACGGCGACAATTGTGGCACACTAAACAAAAGAGTAAAGTTGCAAATCTAAAGAAGAAACTTAAAACAGCAAATGGAATCTGAACCATAAAAGAAAACAATCGGGAAGTAATGCGGTGCGACGTTTAAAAAAGGCTAAAAAATGACGTGATTAGTTAAATAAGTGACCAGTTAAAATTTAGATCGGTTATATTATATCATTTAATCGGAAATATTATCAAGCACAATAACATATTAGGTACCGCTTATATAATATAATAGATAGCGTTTATATAATAAAATAGCTTAATTACTGGAAACATTATTAAACACAATAACATATTATGTAAAACTTATATAATGTAATTGGTAGCGCTTATATAATAAAATAGGTTAATTATTGGAAACATTATCAAGCACAATAACATATTAGGTAGCGCTTATATAACGTAATAGGTAGTGCTTATATAATAAAATATGTTAATTATTTAATTTTTTATTACAATATATTAGGTAAACTCCTAAAATATTACCAAGGATAACATAACTGATTATTTACTGGAAACATTATCATGTATAATAATGTTAACGGTAAAAAAAATAGGCGCTACTTATTACAATAAACTACCTACCGGATATGTTCAAAGTGTCGATTCCATTTAAATAAGTATCGACACTTTTGGAATTACCAAGAATAACATAACCGGTTATTTACTGAAAACATTATCAAGTATAATAATGTAAACGGTAAAAAAAATAGGCGCTACCTATTACATTAAACTACCTACCAGATATGTTGAAAGTGTCGATTCCAATTAAATAAGTATCGACACTTTTGGAATTTAAAAGAAAAGCAGTAATAGCGCCTATAAAGTATCGATACTTTATAAAAATATATCGATACTTTACAATATAACAAGTAAAAATATGGCAAAACCAGTTTCATTATGACATAATGTTTTCAGTAATTAACCTATTTTATTATATAAGCGCTACCTATTACATTATATAAGCGCTACCTATTACATTATATAAGTGTTACCTAATATGTTATTGTGCTTGATAATGTTTCCAATAATTAACATATTTTATTATATAAGCGCTACCTATTATATTATATAAGCGCTATTTATTACATTATATAAGCGATATCTATTACATTATATAAGCGCTACCTATTACATCATAGTTTTACCTGTTATATTGTAAAGTATCGATCATTTACAATATAACAGGTAAAAATATGACAAAACCAGTTTCATTATGATAAAACCGAAAAATTTTACCTGATATGTTGAAAGTATAGATATTTTTTATAAAAATGTATCGATACTTTGTTGAAAGTTATGTAATTTATGTTTCAAATTTTTTTAATAGTGTTTCATGTTTTCCACCTACAATATTAATTTAATAATTTCATTTACACAAAAAATTATTTGATTGTTTTGATATTTTATAAAATATTATTTAGAATTTAAATTTAACAATTTTAACCAAAGATAATAATAAATGTGTAATATCTATGTTTATTGTTTTTAATTTAATAATAATATATATCGTAACATAAAAATAAACCATTAGACGTGTATAATTACTAAATTAATATCTTAAAACT